TAAATATACTCACACTTTTAGCACCTCAAGTAGAATTTTACTCATTTCATTTCAAACAACTCATATAGTAGTAAAATTAAATTGTGACGGTACCAAATGCCACAACTTGACTAAGGGGAAATGGATCACAACCCACACAATTTATTCATTAATTCGTATATACCCTATCAAATCACCTCTCAATATTATACGTGTTGTTCGTTGCACATGTAAAAGAAATCTTAATAAAGGCACCACAAAGAAAGCAACATGTGCATATGATCTGGGTGATGTCAAATCAAGGTAAACTTTTTGTTAAAACTTAATTAGTAACTATACACATGATTTGTTCCTTTTTCCCATTTGTTCATTGCACTTGGAACCACTCACATGACGAAGAGATAAGAGATATAAGTGAAGTTTTTAAGTAATGAATTATTAGCAGTCGTCTAAGAAATAGTAATGTGGACTTGGAAACTTTTTATATTTGTATTTTATTAAATTTAAGAGTTATATAGTTGATGCCAGAAAAAGAGTTTATTAGCTGTATTATAAGGATAAATGGCTAATAAATTGAGATTTGATTGATACTGTTCAAATCAAATTAGAATTAGTTTTATTCTAGATAACCAAATACAAAGATTATTGCATTTCTTATACTAAAAAACCAAAGAATTCGTGGATGTATTTCTTCATTTAATTTGCATCAAGCAATCTTGTTCTAAAAAGAGAAAAGACATAAATTCCCTCCTAAACTTGTTCCGAAAAGTCAGTTACATGCTTAAACTATCATGACGACCTATTACACACTCAATCTTGTTTAAAGTGAAATTAATGAAAGTCAAGAGGGGGGGGGGGGGTGAATTAAAAATTCTTTCAGTCGACTTCCTGTGAGGAGTAGTTGACTCACCTGCAAGTTAGTTCAACATTATAAAACAAGATAAGATGCTAAAAGTAAATTGACACATAATGTTTTATACTGGTTCGGATCACCGATGTGGTGCCTAGTCCAGTCCCCTTGGGTTTCAAGGGTTTCCTTTAGAGCTTGATGCGAACTTGGTTGTACAAGAAGTGAAATCTTCAAGTCATGTCTGATATGCAAATCAGAGCTTCTATGTCGACACTACCTCTACTTGTATAACCTACACTCAGAATCTATCCTTCTCCTTTTCTTTTATAATTGTTCACTCTCGTGTACAAAGCTTTATGAAAGATGAAAGAAGATTACAATATAAGTTCAAGTGAAGTTGCATATTGTACTCCTAGATTGATTGAGTGAATATCTTCTTCTTTCGCTGTTCTTATTTCCTTGTATATGTCTTTTGATATGTCCAGGCTTGTCTTGATTGATTTAAACAGATAATCCCTTTCCTTTCTTGTATGCTTGATTCTGTCAGCAGATTCCTTTCCTTGGGAGTTTGTGTGTGTGACTTGGTTCTCTTTCTTTTCCTGCAATAAGTAGTAAGCCAGTTAAATGTTTTCATTATTAAAACTTTTTTTATTACAAGGAGCTAACGATCTCCCCTTTTTTGATAATGACAACTGACTTAATAACTTTAAAGAGATAATAAGACTTCCCTGATATGCTAAAGCTCCCCCTGTCTATAGCTCCCCCTGACTTTATTTTCTCCTGTAATAGTGAGAACCATTCTCCCCCTTTGGCATAATAAAAAATAAAGAGCCAAAGAGAGCACAAACTAGAAAGCATATACTAGAACTAAAAGAAAGGCAGAGTAGGAAGGTATAGAGCCTTCATAGTACAGTCCAAAAGAGACAGGGACATACCCCTATCCGAAATTGTTCAAAAGATCAAAAGAAACACAAAACTAACGATTTTTACCCCAGAAGTACTTCATGGTATTGATAACCTTTTCACTGAACGAGTTGTAGGAGCGTTCCACAGTCTTGGATAAACTAAAGTAGGAGTTCTGAACCGAGATTGCAAGCTCATTGTTGGAAGAATCGACTCCATTCTTGAAAGAGTCGACTTGCCTGATTAGCTTGTTGACAGTTGAGATACCTTGCTGCTTGATCCCAGTCATAGAAACCCGAAGCTTACCTACATCTGTACTAGTATCCTTCTGAAGCCAGAATACCTTCTCGACGGCATCATGAAGAGTTTCCAGTCCACGTTCAACATCCAAGATGCGAGTTTTGAGTTCATCAGACTCCTTAAGTAGGAGAGTAGCCGACTCTGCAGATATCTTAGTCAGCTTTGCAGTATCAACCCTTTCTTGAACGGAGTCCTTCTTAACCCACCTGTCACCTACCTCCACATATCCCATACTCGAGAAAGTGCGTGAATCATAAGTTGCATTGATTACAATGGGTGTAAACATGGAGAGGTCCACCATTTTATCCACTAAGATTTGTGAGATGAGCAGCCCATATGGTAAAGTGGCAGAGGGATTAGATTCCTCAGAACTTTCCCACATATACTCCTTAAACCATGCCACCCCAATTGATTCGATATTTCTTAAGCAAGTAGTAAAGCACAAACACATCTCTTTTAGAGATGTTGTTGTTGTTGAGAGAACCTTTCCTGGGAAACAGAGTAGTAGCAATAATATGCGCTAAAATGTGATGTTCAAAACATAGAGAAAGAGGACCAAAATCAGACAGGTTTGCGCCGGGTTTAGCCACGATGGTCTTAGCACCTTTAAGAGTCACTTCAAAATCCTTCGGCCATGGACCATTCATGTATGAAATCACACCAAAAAATTTAGTGCCAAACACATCCTCAAATAGTGATTCATTAATAATTAGATGATTACCCAACACTGGGGTTTCCAAATCACCGTTGTCGCTAGATATACGAAGATTTGCATAAAATAAACGAACATCATCCTCAAACAATTCAAGTCCACAAAGGTTAAACAATAAAGAGAGTTTTTGAGCTTTAAGGAACGAACTTACTGGACAATTTGAGTCTCGCAGTTGACTGAGATTTACCACCCTGCCAGGAAACTATAGGACGAGACTTGAATCTTTCATACTTATTCTTTTGTTTCATACCCCAGAAACGATGCATATTCTTTGGAGAGAGAGTTCTAGAAGAGCTTGGTCTGGGTTTCTTCTGACCTTTCGTCTTAGCAGCATGTGCTTTTCGCTTCGTCGACGGAGAAGGGGATGCAAGAGAATTAGTAGATGAGTCGAATGGCAAAGAAAGAACATTTGGGAATTTACAGAGAGATGATCAGAGCTTTTTAGAGAGGCCATGGAGCGAGTTTTAGGCATAGTGAGATGAGGGAGAAGAGAATAGTAGATGAAGAATAAGTAGATGAGAGAGAGAGAGAGAGGAGACGAAGGTTTTTTAGGGGAGGCGGAAAAGTCAAGAAGGTCAGAGGTGAAAACATAGAAGGGAAACGACGATAATGGAAGAAATAAAAGGGTGGAAAGTAATGATGGACACACAGCAAGGAAATAAATTAATTAGTGACATAATGAATTAGAAAAAACAATTAAGTAAACTAACAAAAATTAATCGAATAAGCAATTTATGGCAATAAAATTATGATGCAAAAACAGTTATACCCAGACGATTTCGAAGGAAACAAAATCTTTCTTCAAGTAAAAGTTTTGTGAAAATATCCGTTAATTGATTTTCAGAATCAACAAATTCCAAAGAAAAATCACCATTTTCAACATGATTTCGAATAAAATGATGCTTAATATCAATATGCTTAGCCCTGGAATGATGCACAATATATTTAGAAAGACTAATAGCACTAGTATTATCGCAAAAAATAGGAACTGCTTCGAAAGACAGGTCATAATCAAGTAATTGATGCATCATCCATAACAATTGAGTACCACAGCTTTCCATGGCTAGATATTCTGATTCTGTAGTGGAAAGAGCAACCGAGGTCTATTTTTTGCTATGCCAAAAAATTAGGGATTGTCCCAAAATTTGACATGTTCCACTAGTACTCTTTCGATCAGTTTTGTCACTTGCAAAGTTAGCATCTGAATAGCCAATTAAATCAAAGTGAGATGAGTGAGGATACCATAGACCCATTCCAGTGGTACCAATCAGATAGCGAATGATTCGCTTTACTGTAGTGAGGTGAGATTCTTTTGGAGCGACTTGAAATCATGCACATTTGCATACATTGAACATAATATCTGGTCGACTCGCAGTAAGATAGAGTAGTGAGCCAACCATTTCTCGATACATTTTTTCGTCCATGTCTTTTCCTAGTGCGTCTATTTCGAGACATGTGGAAGGACTCATGGGAGTCCCAAAAGCCTTTCCTTTTTCGAGTCCAATTTTTTTTATTAGCTCTTTGGTATACTTGGATTGACTAATAAAAACTCCATTAGTCGACTGCTTGATTTGTAGTCCAAGGAAGAATGTGAGTTCTCCCATTAAGCTCATTTCAAATTCTCTTTTCATAAGATTTGAAAAATTCTCACATAGAGATGAGTTAGAGCTACCAAATATAATGTCATCAACATAAATTTGAACAATGAGAATATATAAACCAGATCTTTGAATAAAAAGGGTGTGTCAATTATCCCCCTTTGAAAATTATTTTGAAGTGAAAATGTACTAAGTCTTTCATACCATGCTTTAGGAGCCTGTTTGAGGCCATAAAGCGCTTTTGAGAGCTTATACACAAAATCAGGGCAAAAGGGGTTTTCAAACCCGAGGGGCTGTTTGACAAAAAACTTCTTCTTTTATGAAACCGTTTAAAACGGCACTTTTTACATCCATTTGAAAAAGTTTAAAACGCTTAAATGATGCATATGCAAGTAAAATGCGAATAGATTCTAACCTTGCTACGGGAGAAAAAGTTTCATCGTAGTCAATACCTTTCTGTTGAGAGTAGCCTTGAGCAACGAATCTTGCTTTATTTCAAAAAACTTTACCCCTTTCATCCAACTTGTTACGAAACACCCATTTGGTTCCGATTACTAAGCAATTCTTTGGTCTTTCGATGAGGGTTCATACTTGATTTCTTTCGAATTGATCAAGTTCTTCTTTCATTGCTTGTACCCATGAATCATCTTCCATAGCTTCATTTATTCGTTTTGGTTCCATTTTGAGATATAAGAGCCACTGAGGCTTGTTCTCTGAGTGACGACCTTGTTTGCATTTTGTCATTAGGTTTCCCAAGAATGTAGTTCTCAAGATAGTTTGCATTATGTCTCCATTCTCTAGCAATGTTGGCCTTATCGACTGGTGTAGTCGACTCCATCTCTGTAGTAGCTGACTTGTCAGTGTTAGGTTCAAGAGTGGCCTTTGCGATATCTTCTGTTGATTGGACAGAAGAGACCTGTGAAATATCTTCAGTTTGTTGGATATCAATAACTTCATCATCACCAACTTTACTTTCTTGAACTCTTGGGTTAGTATCATCAAATACTACATGAACAGATTCTTTAACATTTAAAGTTCTTTTATTAAAAACTCGAAAAGCTTTACTAATAGGTGCATATCCCAAGAAAATACCTTCATTGCTTCTGGGATCGAACTTACCGAGATTATTCTTACCATTGTTATGAATGAAACACTTACAGCCAAAAGGATGGAAGTATCTAATGTTTGGTTTCTTTCCTCTCTAGAGTTCATAAGAAGTCTTCTTTAGAATTGGTCTGATGAGACATCTGTTGAGAATGTGACAAGCAGTACTTACAGCTTCTACCCAAAAATGATCAGGGAGATTTCGATCCAACACCATAGTTCTTATTGTATCTTGTAATGAGCGATTTTTCCTTTCCACAACTCCGTTTTGATGAGGTGATCTGGGTGAGGAGAAATTTTGAGTGAACCCATTTTGAGCGCAAAAATCTTCAAATGCTTTGTTTTCAAATTCTCCACCATGATCATTATGAATAGTTATGATGAAGTAACCTGCTTCTCTTTATACTCTTCTACAGAATACTTCAAAATTAGTAAAGGCTTCATTTTTATTATTGAGAAACATTACCCATGTAAAGTCATCAACAATTACAAAAGCATATCGTTTACCGCCAATGCTGGCAGTTCGAGTAGGACCAAACAGATCCATGTAAAGAAGCTGAAGAGGTTTAGAGGTACTTACAATATCTTTCAAGGATGAACGAGTCTGCTTACCCAACTGACATGCGTCACAAACATGATATTTTTGAAACTTTAGTTTTGGTAGACCAATGACTAGTTCAAGTCTAGATAGTTTCTTGAGGGCATGCATACTCGCGTGTCCAAGTTTTCGATGCCATAGCCAAGGATCACTTGTAACTGCAGTAAGACACGTAAGAGAAGGAAAATTAACATTGTTTAAGACATATATATTATTCACTCGATCTCCGATAAGGGTGAGACTTTTCTCAGGATGTTTCATGATGCAACTAGCTGTGTTGAAGGTAACTTGAAATCCAGCATCACATAGTTGACTAATGCTCAGGAGATTATGTTTGAGTCCTTCAACCAGATACACTTAGATTAAATCAAATGATGAACTGAGAGTGATAGTCCCGACTCCAATTACTTCCCCTTTAGCATTGTCTCCAAATCTAACACATCCTCCATCGATCTTTTTTATAGTTTTGAAGTTTTCTTTCTTTCCGCACATGTATCTGGAGCATCCACTGTCAAGCACCCACATTCCTTTTCTGTAGGTTTTCTTAGATTGCTCCTGCAAGACAAAAGGATTAGTTTCTTTTACGTACCCAAGTATTTTTGGGTTCTTGATGATTAGTACTTCTGGTCTCCAGATCCATTTTCCCGAGGAATATTTTCTACAGTTAAAGGATTTGTAACCAAATTCTCCACAAGTATAACAAGTAATACTAACAGAATTATCAGGAGAGTGAGAATTTAATATAGATCTATTTGATATGTTGGAACTTTGATTTGGAGATCTTCTCCTGTTGAGAATAGATCTGTTAGATCTAACAGAACAATGACTAGAAGATTTCCTGACACTATTTAGCTGCATTTTTACGTCCTTCAGTTCTTCTGTTAGTAAGTCAACTTCAATCTGACTTGCTTCTAGAAGAATCTGCCAATCTTTCTTTTCTTGTGCAATCTTATTGTACTCATCAATAACTTTTTGTAATTCATCAGCAACTATATCCAAAGTATTTTGTAGATCATTGCAATTTGAACAGTTAAAAGACCTTACCTCACTTGTTTCACCTAGTGCCATGAAACATATATTTGCCATTTCATCGTGATCATCCTCGGTTGTTTATCCTTGATCCCATGCTCCGAGACTTTTTGGATCTTAATTTCTTCGATTGTTTCTCCTTCTTCGTTCTGGGCAGTTTTGTTTGATGTGTCCTGGTTTTCCACAATAGTAGCATCGATCATTATTTCTTTTGAAATCATTATTCTTGAAGTCCTGTTGAGGTCTTTGTCTAAACATTTGTCTCACTCCTCGATTTATGAGAGTCATTCCTTCACCTTCATTTTCATCAACATCTTCTTCAACTTCAAATGTCTCAGCTGTGAATGTCACTGTCTTCTTTTTATCCTCTTTGTTGTACTTGTTGATATGATTCTGTTCATAAGCCATTAAGTTACCTCAAAGTTCATCGTAAGTCATTTTCTGCAGATTTTCATCTTCAAGAATGGCAGCTTTGGTTTCCCAAGCCTTGGGAAGATTTCTAACGAGTTTTCTGACTTGTAGTGCATTTGAATACACCATTCCAAGTAATTTGTGTTCGCAGACAATTTTACTGAATCTCGAGAACATGAATTCAACATTTTCATCTTCGGCCATTTTGAACAATTCATATTCATTCACAAGTGAACTGATCCGAGCTTTCTTTACTTTAGTGGTTCCTTCATAAGTCACTTCAAGCTTGTACCACATTTTTTTCGTAGTTTCACATGTTGATATCTTGTCATATTCGTCTCCACTCACTGCACAATATAACAAACTTATAGCTCTAGCATTAGTTTGAATTACCTCTCGTTGTTCCTTAGTGGTATCGAATTATTCAATGTCAAATGACTTTCCAGTGCCATCTTGTTCAGTCAATCCAGGAATAGGCTTTGGGGCCTTCTTGATCACTATCCATGCTTGTGATCATTAAAAGAGACAAAGATTCTGAACCTGTCTTTCCAGTGAGAATAATGTTGTCCATTGAAATATGGTGGTCGATGTGAAGAGTGTCCATCTTGAAGTAGAACGCCAGGAATCTAATAGTGTGCCATTGGATATTTGCTCACGTGTGGTTAAACACTTAAAAAGTGAAACCTGCTCTGATACCAATTGAAAGTCAAGAGTGGGGTGAATTAAAAATTCTTTCAGTCGACTTCCTGTGAGGAGTAGTCGACTCACCTGCAAGTTAGTTCAACAGTATAAAACACGATAAGATGCAAAAAGTAAATTGACACAAAATATTTTATACTGGTTCGGATCACCGATGTAGTGGTTGTACAGGAAGTGTAATCTTCAAGTACTGTATAATATGCAAATCAGAGCTTCTATGTCGACACTATCTCTACTTGTATAACCTACACTCAGAATCTTTCCTTCTCTTTTTGTTTTATAATTGTTCACTCTCGTGTAAGAAGCTTTATGAAGGATGAAAGAAGATTACAATATAAGTTCAAGGGAAGTTGCATATTGTACTCCTAGATTGATTGAGTGATTATCTTCTTCTTTTGCTGTTCTTGTTTCCTTGTATATGTATTTTGATATGTGCAAGCTTGTCTTGATTGATTTAAACAGATAATCCCTTTCCTTTGTTGTGTGCTTGACTCTGTCAATAGATTCCTTTCCTTGGGCGTTTGTGTGAGTGACTTGGTTCTCTTTCTTTTCCTGCAATAGGCAATAAGTTAGTTAAATGTTTTAATTATTAATACTTCTTGATTACAAGGAGCTAACAATTAATACCCTCTTCCGAAGACAATACCAGTTTTTGTGTGAAAATGTGTTATACACGCGTTTTGACACATAAATAAGATTATTTTAATTTTTTTAAATCATTTTTGCTTAGTATTTTCTTGACTTTTGCAAAAAAGTAGAAACCTAGGTTTTCTTCTTCCTCTCACCTTACATTTCTTTCTTCTTAAAATCAGTTTTTTCTTTCTTCTTCATTATTCATAAATTGAAGGGAAAACAAGAAATTTTAATAGAGAACGTGAGACAATAAGACGATTATGAAGTTTAGTGATGTGGGTGGCGGCAGGCGATGGGCAACACCATTGTTGTCGGCGAAACAAATAAGAACTTTTAGATCTATAAAAGTTCTTTTCAAATCTTGATGATTATGGATGAAAATCAATCATTTCATTAGTATTCTTTGTGTGTAAAATTAAATATGCTATTGATGGTTTGAGACAAAAATAACATTGTGATGGTTGTGAGTGGTGCTCTGGGGAGAATAAAGAAGACAAAGATATAAAATTATTTTCTTCCATGAATTTTTGAAAAATGTAGGCAATGAATCATGAATTTTATGCATAAATGTCATAGGATTTTGAGTAGAAGCCATTATATTTCTCATATTTTTTTCCGGTGAATCTTCCAACGAGTTCGAATAAAAATCATGAACCTTAAGTTAAAATTATTAACTTCTCGGTGGAAATCAACATCCTCCCTACTATTTTTTACTTCTTTTTAGAATTCCTTTTTATGATAGAGTGATGGATATTTGAAGAAATCATCAATGGTGACAAAGAATTTGTAAAGAAGAAGAACTTTTTTAAAAAAAAATTAAAAATGTAAAAGCTTTATAGATATTGGGGTCACCAATAAAAATAAAAAAAAGAAAAAAAATACATAATTAATAAATTAGAAATTATAATACTTAATTGTATAATGACCAATAAAATAGGGCCATGTGTTTAAACTTGTCATTTTAACATAAATTTTCTTTTTCTCACACACCTTAAGGAAGGTGAAGACACTTTATGTGTCATGCCACCTTCTAAGGGGTATTAATATCACTTTAAATAAGATTAGGTGTGTAATAGGTCATCACAATAGTTTAAGCATGTAGTTGACTTTTCAGGACAAATTCAGGGGGAAACTTATGTCTTTTCCCTTCTATAAACAAAAACGATAAGAGAAGGAAAAAACTACATAACCACACATACATCACTATCATATATATTATATTTACCTCTAGGTTAAAATAATTACACATATTACCACTTTTAATATTTATACCATATATTTTAAAAGATTTAATCAGATACACAAATCTCTTAAATATGGTATTGAATAATTATCTCAAATTTAAACTCTTTAATTAATGGTCATTAACAAGTCAATTTTTTTCTATTCCCATTAACCGTTGTTCCCCACCCCATGTCCACCCACCCACTTTCTTTCTTCATCTTCTTCTTCTTTATTCCTTCACCCTCTCAATACATGTTTGCATGTTCAAATCAGTATTTTACATATAGGTTTGTTTCTATTGTTTTATTATTCTCATGTATCTTGGTTTTGTATTTGAGTTAAAATTCATAATGTTCTTAAGTTCAATTTTAAAAAGTTTTACAAATTAGGTTTTATATTTTTTGATTTTGTTGTTTCTCAAACACTCCAATGCTGACCATTGTCAAAATCGGATGATTCTTGTTAAAGGTACTACACATTAACAATATTATACTAAATCAGACAACTTTTATTTGTTTATTTTTACTCATGAATTTATCATTGCAGGGACTGACTCTTCATCCATCAACATTCAAGCCGAGAATAGATCTAAGTATAGGAATGACTCAATCAAGATAGAAGAATTACGTCAAATTTTAATTAACAGAACAAATACACCGTTAGATATGCAATAATGTTGGATACACATCATGTGTACATGTATCTAGTTAAGAATTCATGTATCTGACTTAAGATTATATGTATCTATGATAAAAAAAAATTAGATGCTAAAAAGGGAAGAATTTTGATTTTTTTTCTTTTTAATGATAAACATATACTCTACCATTGTGATTTGTTTCTATATTTGTGCGTTTTAGTTACATTTCATATTTAGATACACATAATTATATGTATATGCTTATTATGTATCCGAGATACATGTTTTTGAATATAATGTATGAAATTGATACTTGATACATCAAATTAACACTAGATACATATAAAATATACATGAAAAGTAAAATTAGATCATATAAATAGATACATGAAATTAATACTAGACACATATAACAAATACACTAAATAAATCTAGATACTTCTATGATACATATGGATGTACATATATGATGCTCATGTATCTAAGTGTTTAGTTGGTTGGATACATCATATATTGATAATAGATACATCAAATTAATGGATTTATTATTTAAGAGTGATAAAATAAAATAAATCAAATTACTTGATTAAGATATACATGTTTTTTGTTGTCCTTTATTAATAATATTAATGAATTTATTATTTCAAAGAATAATAAAATGAAGTTAATTAAACATAGACACATTCCTTGATTTCCGCCTTATATTAAGGGATTTGATTAATTTAAATTTTCAAAATTAATTGTTCATGCATTCTGAAAATCTTCATCAGTTACAACCAATTAATCTAAACAAATAAAATATGTCTCTCAATTATAAAATTCGGTAGATACATATATCTCACGGATTCCAACTCGTGTATCCTAAGCATGAAATATGGTAGATGAAGTAATATTTGAAACTATCAGGAATCTTAGTAATTAGAACCTAAACTAGTTGGATTTATATAGTTTGCCCTTAAGAGAAGCTAGTGTAATTCTCATATATCATCAAGAGGCTTTGGTAAATAATGATAATGTGTGTATTTAAGGCAGGTCTCTTTTATTTATTAACTTGGTATAAACACACTATAAAAATATTTTTTATCAATTGGTAATAAAACAACAAAAATGTACCTACTGTTATAAATACATTAATGTGAATGTCTTTCGTAACTCTTTGTGAAGTTCATGTACAAAATAAATGAACTCTATTTAATTCATGTAACTTTCAAAGACATTTTGTACTATAAATAGCGATGATTATTTTATAAAAGATACAGTCGAAAAGTACAGAAGAAAGAAATAAGAAAGCATTATCTCCCATATATCTTGTCTATATATTTATTGTCTTATATTATTTTATATTGCTAATATTTCACAACACGTTATCAGCACGAGTCTCTAACCAATTAAGACCTACTTAATTCAAAATTATCTTTTTTCCTAAAAGTTAATCAATTTTCTTTCTGAGGTAGGTATACATTTATATGTTTATAACATCTCGAATAGGACTTACATAAGTCTTTGATTTGCAATTTAATTACTCCATACATAACTTGCTTTAACTATTATTATGATACTTTACTCAATGCATTTAAGATTTATATTATTTATCTGCTACTAACTTATAACTCTAAATTAATTACTAAGTAATATGATAGCAAGCTAGTTAAAATACTTGAAAGTAGTAATTCTCTCATTTATGATATGTATTTGTGTGTCATAAAGAATAATAGTATTATGTTAAATATGACTTAAAAATCTTACAAACCTTTGGCGTTAAATAACAATTGAAACTAGTAATAAATATTGTAAAATAATTAGA